TTGGAAATGCCCCACCATTGATCTCTTTTCACGCAGCGCAAAGACAATTTTGTTCCAGAGTGAGACTGGGACACAGATCTCAGGGAGACACGTTCCTCATAACATGGGATACATGTCTCCATTAGGCCTTCTTTCCCTTTCCCTCTCCTATTCAGAGTACATTCCAAGATTCAGGAGTACAGAGGTCATGTCATACTTAGCTCCAACAGGGCCACAACAAGACTAGTATATTTATCTCTTCCACACAATGATATACCAATTGATCTCTCTCCATCCAATGCCACGGCGCTTTTCACAGGACTCAGGATGCATCCTCCATCCAAATGCAGAGATGTCCCTTCTCAAAGCCTTGCTTCTGTGGGGTTTCACAATTCAGAAGTAGCCTGTTCAGAGGCAGTCAAGCTGGGTATGTCTACACTACCCCGCTAGTTCGAACTAGGGGGGTAATGTAGGCATACCGCAATTGCAAATGAAGCCCGGGAACTTCAAATCCCGGGCTTCATTTGCATAAGCAGGGCGCTGCCATTTTTAAATCCCCGCTCGTTCGAACCCCGTGCCGCGCGGCTACACGCGGCACGAACTAGGTAGTTCGAACTAGGAAGCCTAGTTCGAACTACCTAGTTCATGCCGCGTGTAGCCGCGCGGCACGGGGTTCGAACGAGCGGGGATTTAAAAATGGCGGCGCCCCGTTTATGCAAATGAAGCCCGGGAACTTCAAATCCCGGGCTTCATTTGCAATTGCGGTATGCCTACATTACCCCCCTAGTTCGAACTAGCGGGGTAGTGTAGACATACCCACAGATACTTTTGAATATAAGGCACAACACAGCTAGACGCACATAAGTGGACTAGATTGTTATGCTGGTGAGCCTCCCACCAAGTTGGTGCAGCACACACTCCCCTGCCACTTATTCTGGACTACATGCTACACCTTAAACCAGGAGTGGGCAAACTTCTTGGCCTGAAGACCACAAAAGGGGCTTTGGACTAGGCTAGGGGTTTGGAAAGCTGGAAGGGGTGAGGGATGAAGGGGTTGGGGTGCAGGAGTGTCTCTGGGCTGGGACCGAGGTGTTCAGAGGGCGGAAGGAGGATCAGGGCTGTGACAGAGAGTTGGGGTGTGCGTGGGGAGTGAGGGTTCTGGCTGGGGGGTGCAAGCTCTGGGTTTAGTCTGGGAATGAGGGATTTGAAGTATAGGAGAATGCTCCAGGCTGGAATTGAGGGGTTCACAGGATGGTAGGGGATTTGGGGCAGAGATTGGGGTATAGGAAGAGGTCGGGGTGCAGGCTTGAGCAATATTTGCCTCTAGTAGCTCCTGTAAACAGCAGGTCCCCCTTCCATCTCCTATGCAGAAATGCAGCCAGGTTGCTCTGTATGCTGCCCTGTCCACAGATGCCATCCCTGCAGCTCCCATTGGCCTTTGTTCCTGGCCAATGGGAGTGACAAAGCTAGTGCTCGGAGTAAGGACAGAGTGTGGAGCCTCTTGCGGCTCCGACATGTAGAATCTGGGGGGGGGGGATATGCCACTGCTTTCGGGAGCTGCACAAAGCCATCGCACATGTGGAGCAGGGCAAGCCCCTGACCCTGCTCTGCCATGGGAGCTTGAGGGCCAGATGAAAAGGTGTGTTGAGCCACAGGCTATAGTTTGCCCACTCCTGACTTAAACAATCAGATCTATCCACCAGATCCATTCAGCAACATGTGGCAGCAATCACTAGTTTTCACTGCCACATAGTTGGTCATTCTGTTTTCACACATCTGATAACCAAGCACTTTCTGAAGGGACTCTATAACCTTTATATCCACATATGAGATTCAACCCTTTCCTGGGTCTTCTTCATGTCCTATATTTTCTGAGTAGGCCCCATTTGAACCAAATGCAACCTATTCTTCTCTGCATCCATCAATGAAAACAGCCTTCCTCGTCCCCATCACTTCTACCCATGAGTTGGCGAAATTATGGCCCTTATGGCATGTCCACCCCATACACTGTTCTACAAGGACAAAGTTTCACTACATCCACATCTGACATTTCCACCTAAGATTCTAACATCTGTTCATATCAACTAGCCTACACAACTGCCTTCCCAAACTCTTACAGTAACCAAAAGGGTCATACTCACCCGATATGAGACAAGCATTAGCATTTTACTTGTACAGCATTAAACCCTTCTGAAAAATCATCGTGATTATGCCTCTCCACCACCAAAAGAGCTAGAAGTCCAATAGTATCTAAACAACATCTTTCAAAGTGGTCGTTGTAGTATATACATTTATTTTACAAACTCCACAAACACGACATCCTGCCACATTCAGAGCACATTCATTATCCACCTCAACAGACTTTCTCAATAATGTTTCTTTGCTGAAATTTGCAAAGCCATCACGTGGTCATCAACAGACACTTTTCCCATCACTACACTATTATACACAATGCCACAGCAGACACTCTCCTAGGACATGAAATCCTGTCATGGACAGTAAACATTGGTCTGAAGGCCCAGCCTTCTAATTAGGGATCCTGCTTTCTAGTCTGTTATAAGTGGAGCGTCTACAGGGACATCACTTGAAGAAAAAGAGGTTAGTTGTCTTGTGCAGTAACTGAGATTATTCAAGATGTGTGTCCCCATAGGTTTTCCATTACTTGCCCTTTCCTCTCTTCTTTTGAGCCAACCTTCCCCCCCTGCTGTGGGCAGAGAAAGAATTGGGAGTGGTTAGTCCACTCAACACTATATATATATTCCCTGCTCCTGGTGTGAAGGGGTGCGTGCATGCACGTCTGTGTTCTGATGAAAAACAACAAATGGTCTGGTAGCACTTTATAGACTAACAAAACATGTAGATGGTATCATGAGCTTTCATGGGCACAGGCCACTTCTTCAGATGACCAGAGTTATGAGATATGAAAACTCAAAATAAATAGGAGAGGGGAAGGGGAGAGGAGAGAGAAAGAAAAAGGGAGTGGGATGGGAGACAGAGCATCGTTAAGTATCTGGAGAATAGGTACTTAAACCTAAGAAGATAAAAATCAAAGTCAATAGATAGATTCCCAAGACAGGAAGGATACCACTCAGAGAGCGGTTAGCACCTTCAGTGGTTATTAAGTAGGAAGATCCCCACCAGCCTATATCACAATTGAGTCCATTAGCATGTGAATTGAATTTGTGGATTGTATGCACAGAGGGTGCTACCATACATACCAGTGAAGTCCTTGTTGGGAAACATCTCTTGAACCTAAGTAACATTCTCATTTGATGGGTTTCCTTTGTCTGGAAATTGGGTTGGAAGAGCAAGTGCTCCAGGGTTGATGAATGTAATTTACGTAATTAGGAATCTATTTTTTAAAAAAGAAGTGATCAAATAAATTACGTCATTTAAAAATGTGTGGATAGAACTTTATATCACTGATATTTTCTGGAGGTAAAAACTAACAGTGACAACTTAGTCTTGGGTGTAATCTCTTTAATTCTGAATGAATAAGGGGCAGATTGTGCTGTCTAGGCTCAAATCCATATGGTGGACAGTTCATAGAAGCATTGTCCCACTAGGAGCTCAGAGAGGCATTGTTTAATACCTCCCAGAGCTCCTCAGTGCACCGTGTGTGGCACAGAGTATATGCTCCTTTCAACAGCCCCTTTGTGGCTGTCTAGCTCTGATAATTGTATGAAGGGAGAATGGGCCATGTCCTGCCTTGACCCCCTTGTCTTTTACAGTGGCTTGCACCTTCTAGAAAAATAGAAGGGTAGTTCCTGTCCTTCCTTTCCCTGACACATCTGTGTAGGGTCAAGTTGCAGTCTCTCTCTAGATACCAGATTCCTATCAAACATGTGGGTGTGATTTTTCTTCATTGGAATGATGGTTGCACTGGTCTAACTGAGGCTATGTCTAGACAGCAGGCTTCTTTCAGAAGAAGCTTTTCTGAAAGAGATCTTCCGAAAAAACTTCTTCTGAAATGAGTGTCCACATTGCCAAAGCACTTTGAAAAAGCAATCTGCTTTTTCAAAAGGTAACATCCAGACTGAATGGATGCTATCTCGCATGTAAGCTGTGATTACTATGGGCAGAATGGCCACCAGGGCACCTGTGCTTTTTCCTCCTCTTCTTGAGAAAGAATTCTCTCTTCCCCGTCCACACACACCTTTTTCCGAAAGAGCTCTTTCAGAAAAAGGCTTCTTCCTGAGAAAGAGGTTTACCAATGTTGGAAAAACTCCTCTGTTCTTTCGATTTTCTTTTGAAAGAACGCAATTGCAGTGTGGACATAATTGAAATTTTTTTGGAAAAACCACTGTTTTTTTGAAAAAGCTCTGTAGTGTAGACCTAATTTGCAATCTAACCAAAATGATTTAATGTACTTTTTAAATTTTTTAATGTATACAGCACACCTACCTTTACCTTAGTCTATTCAAATGTTATAAAAAAATTCTAAAAAGCAAAATAATATTTTAATAATTTCTTTTCATAACAACACCCAGGTGTTTATATGCATCAATTTGCTGTGACTTTTCCTAATCACCGTCTTTTAATAATTTTAATAATTTGTACTTATCCTAATTCCCTCCCGTTTGTTGCCATTTGTCTAGTATTGTGCTGGACTATTTGCAGCCTTAATGGGAAGTCCTCTATACAGTCCCAATATCTAATCTGCTTGTGATGGGACCCCCCACTTTAGCTGCCGCTCATAATTAGATTAGGTTCTTATTTCCTTCCAGCATATTGCATTGCATGTTCTAATTTAATTTGCTGTCCGTTACTACTCTTAGGCTTTTTAAATGCATTATGTATCTGGTTATCCCTTGCTTTGCATCTTCTATACTCTCACCTATGCAAAGTGAGTGTAAAATGTATCCTTATTTGGACTCATTTTTCATAGGACTAAATGGTTACACAAGTTTTATGGCAATGAAGAATCAGGCCCTATTCCCTTTCAGTTGTTTCCCTTCCAGTTAACAGCCTGTTGAACAAGATGTCTGAGCAATAATGATCAAGGTATTTCTTCTCTTTAGAACTGGAAACAAGACGATTAAGAAGACCAGACACTGATATAGTTCTGGTGTTTGTTCTGATAACTGGAGTTATTGTTTGTGTTGGAGTGATCTTTGCGTTAATCTTCGTAATTCTTCACTGGTAGGTGGACAGCATACAAATGTGATTTTTGTGCTCTTTGTTTAGATTATAGTACTACTAACTGCAAACCTGACACTCAGATGAGATAATTTAATTTTTCTACACTGGTACATTTATGTTGCTAGCGGTCAATATATCTGACAATGACAGCTGTTCTTTTTACTAGAGTAGCTTAAAAAGAAGTAGTCTGCTTAAAAAGAAGTATTATAGATTTTTGACAGGAAGAGACTTTAATATAGTATACTCTGTATAAGGAAATGGGAATTTAAATCTACTTAAATGTACATTATTGTTCAATTATTATGTCCATTTCAGGGGAGCTGTAAAAGCATTCTGGGCCTCAAAAATTGGTAAGGGCTCCAGAGAAGAACAATCAAGCTCTCAAGGTTCAATGAGAACCATAGAAGACTCATCAGGACCAGGCTCTGTATTGCCATTAGGATCTGTAGTGGCATCAGGATCAAGAATAGCATCAGCATCTGTGTTAGCATCAGGATCAAGATTAGCATCAGGATCAAGATTAGCATCAGGATCAAGAATAGCATCAGGATCTGCATTAGCATCAGCACCAACACCAACACCATCACCGTCACAGATAGATACTACTGGACAAGAGGAGGAGCATTTCCCAGAATGGAACAATGAAGAAGAGAATTAGAAAAATGAGGCTGGAATATATAAAAAGATTATCTAAAAAAGATGATAATAAAGTATGTTTAAAATACATACATTGCAAGTTTTAATTTTTATTACAAATATTAGATATATAGAGTTGAATTTTAAAGTTGGTGTTGTAAAAATACATTAGATAGATTGAAAATCAGTGTTAACATGTATGTAGTTCAGTGATTTTAATAATCAGAGCCTTTCAGGTCCAGAGAGCCAAAAGCAAAATTTTCACAAGGAACTTGTAAATAATGTATTTAACATTTTAAATGTGTTAATATCAAATAGTCCATATGAAGCACATCCTTTGTAAAGTGTCCCCTACATAATTTCATAAAAGGGGAAGGATAAAAAAGAGCAAAGATATGATCCTTCTTTTAGCACTGCATCATGATGTTGAGAACAACATTAAACAAAGAACTAAAGGTCATAAAGAGAAGAAATTATTTAATTGCCTATAAACCAATTTTAGGTGCCTGAAGAAGAGAAATTGAATTGCTTAGTTAAGAGCATAAATTTGATCTAATTGGTATTACTAACACCTGGTGGGATGATTCAGACTATTGGAATGTTAAAATCAATGGCCATAAATTATTGAGGAAGGATCAAGTGGGTGAAAGGAGAGGAGTGGTACTGTGTCAAAAATGGCATTACCTGTTTCTGAGTCACTGATAACTCAAAAGAAAATGATCTTGAATGCTTATGGATCACTGCCTTAACAGCTAAAAGCACAAGATGGGGTATTAGTCGGTGTCTGCTACACACCACTAAATCATTCTAGGGAACAGGATGAATGGATCCTTAC